CATGTAATGCAGCATGGTGGTTTAGCACATGAAACATGTAATGTAGCATGGTGGTCTAGCACATGAAACATGCAATGCAGCATGGTGGTCTAACACATGAAACATGTAATGTAGCATGGTAGTCTAGTACATGGAACATGTAATGCAGCATGTTGGTTTAGCACATAAAACATGTAATGCAGCATGGTGGTCTAGCACATGAAACATGTAATGCAGCATGGTGGTCTGGCACATGAAACATGTAATGCAGCATGGTGGCCTAGAACATGAAACTTGTAATGCAGCATGGTGGTCTAACACATGGAACTTGAAAAGCAGCATGGTGGTCTAGCACATGAAAGTTGTAATGCAGCATGGTGGTCTAGCACATGAAACATGTAATGCAGCATGGTGGTCTAGCACATGAAACATGTAATGCAGCATGGTGGTCTAGCACATGAAACGTGTAATGCAGCATGGTGGTCTAGCACATGAAACGTGTAATGCAGCATGGTGGTCCAGCACATGAAACATGTAATGCAGCATGGTGGTCTAACACATGAAACTTGCAATGCAGCATGGTGGTCTGGCACATGAAACGTGTAATGGAGCATGGTGATCTAACACATGAAACATGTAATGGAGCATGGTGGTCTAACACATGAAACATGCAATGCAGCATGGTGGTCTGGCACATGAAACATGTAATGCAGCATGGTGGTCTAGCACATGAAACGTGTAATGCAGCATGGTGGTCTAGCACATGAAACGTGTAATGCAGCATGGTGGTCTAGCACATGAAACGTGTAATGCAGCATGGTGGTCTAGCACATGAAACATGTAATGCAGCATGGTGGTCTAGCACATGAAACATGTAATGTAGCATTGTGGTCTAGCACATGAAACATGTAATGCAGCATGGTGGTCTAGCACATGAAACATGTAATGTAGCATGGTGGTCTAGCACATGAAACATGCAATGCAGCATGGTGGTCTAACACATGAAACATGTAATGCAGCATGGTGGTCTAGCACATGAAACATGTAATGCAGCATGGTGGTCTAGCACATGAAACATGTAATGCAGCATGGTGGTCTGGCACATGAAACATGTAATGCAGCATGGTGGTCTAGAACATGAAACTTGTAATGCAGCATGGTGGTCTAACGCATGGAACTTGAAAAGCAGCATGGTGGTCTAGCACATGAAAGTTGTAATGCAGCATGGTGGTCTAGCACATAAAACATGTAATGCAGCATGGTGGTCTAGCACATGAAACATGTAATGCAGCATGGTGGTCTAGCACATGAAACATGTAATGCAGCATGGTGGTCTAGCACATGAAACCTGTAATGCAGCATGGTGGTCCAGCACATGAAACCTGTAATGCAGCATGGTGGTCTAGCACATGAAACGTGTAATGCAGCATGGTGGTCCAGCACATGAAACATGTAATGCAGCATGGTGGTCTAACGCATGAAACATGTAATGCAGCATGGTGGTCTAACGCATGAAACATGTAATGCAGCATGGTGGTCTCGCACGTGAAACATGTAATGCAGCATGGTGGTTTAGCACATGAAACATATAATGCAACATGGTGGTTTAGTACATGAAACGTGTAGTGCAGCATGTTGGTTTAGTACATGAAACGTGTAGTGCAGCATGGTGGTTTAGCACATGAAACATGTAATGCAGCATGGTGGTCTAACACATGAAACCTGTAATGCAGCATGGTGGTCCAGCACATGAAACATTTAATGCAGCATGGTGGTCTAACGCATGAAACATGTAATGCAGCATGGTGGTCTAACGCATGAAACATGTAATGCAGCATGGTGGTCTCGCACGTGAAACATGTAATGCAGCATGGTGGTTTAGCACATGAAACATATAATGCAACATGGTGGTTTAGTACATGAAACGTGTAGTGCAGCATGTTGGTTTAGTACATGAAACGTGTAGTGCAGCATGGTGGTTTAGCACATGAAACATGTAATGCAGCATGGTGGCCTAACACATGAAACATGTAATGCAGCATGGTGGTCTAACACATGAAACATGTAATGCAGCATGGTGGTCTAGCACATGAAACATGTAATGCAGCATGGTGGTCTGAACAAATTTGGTCCATGCATGTCTGAACAGAATTGGACATAATCAGTCCCAGTTGCAGCCTACATTGTGTGAAAAAAGCAATTTATTACGATATTAAGTTTACAATAATGAAAATAAGTTGATACAAGTATATGCTTGTAAAAAGTACATGCTAAAAAGGAACTTTTACATTATAAACACTGAACATATATTGTAGAGTATCACGAAAAAAGTATTATAAATTGATATCGGGAACATACAAATCATTTAAAGATATGACATGGAATCTATTCAAGGATGCTGTATAAGTTATTAATATTGAAAGTTTGTATTCTAAAATATGTGCATTAATAATGAAATGATGAAATAGGAATATACATTATACAGCCTCATTTCAGAAAAATATACAAGTACAGTAAAATATCACAATGACAAGATGTGAACAACTATTGTGAAAATGTTTCATTCTGTGTCCAGCTTTAATTTTCTGATTTTCAAATGAAACATTCAGGTCAAGCAATGATATAAATATAAATGTATGTTTCTTGAATGAAATATTATCAGGTTTCCCTATAGGGCCTTGACTTTCTAACATTTTACACTTTTGAGACTAAATTTTTGTAAATTTATAACCTGTTTAGGGAAACGCACAAATATTAAATAAAAAAAACATTCATAGTTAAAACTACATGTTCTTAAGTAAAATAAAGCCAACCGAGAACATAATGTTGATTTGATGAAATTTTTGTTTCTTCAGACCTTTTCAAGCAATCACCAAAAGAGTTAGACTTTTTAAAGAACTAAATAGGAATCCTGCTAAATGTAAATGTACAATTCAAAGATAATCATCCACAACCAGTATTATCATGTAATAGTTAAAAAAAAAAGAAAAAAGTAATGGCTATAGCCATATTTGGATTCACAAACTCTGGAATATACAACAGATTTAATGTTCACACTGAGCTGCAATTCATCAGAATTAACAATCTTTTAGGGTTCTTCCAACATTACTGGTTTTTGTTTTCAAAATACATAAAGTCCTGTGAAAAGAGATAAAATGTGATGTATAAAACATAGTTATCAAGTCCATTTAAAAGTTTAATAGGGAATAAAGTGTATTTAGGAAGTGAAAATAGCAAACACAAGTTTATAATATTAAAAGCCAATCTAAAAGAAAGGGCTGCAATAATGAATATTTGGTAATGTATGTGACAAGAAGATCTAATGTTGTTAAAGCCAAGATTTGGTTATGGGAATCCAGATACGCTATTTTCACTGTATATTAATATGAATTTTTCAGATGCAAGTTTCTATGGTAACATAAATGGTGTGTTTTGTAAAGTGTTGACTAAAAACAAGTCACAGAATATCCATGAAAAGTTGATGAAAAGTTTGTAAGAAAAGTAAAAAGTAGTTTTGGTGTGTATACATTTGATTTATAAATAGAATCATTGCAATATTTTACAGATACATTTTGATCATCAATCAATTCAGATAGCAATGTGTTACCGTACAGTTTCAAACATCACGATCACTGACTACATACTTAAACTAAAAGAGTAGTTGACAACTATTTGTATGTAAATTGTAAAACGCTTTGAAATAGTTGCATGCTGTTTCTTAAGCATGGAACTATAAATTCACTTAACCATTTCATTTTACAAAACTAATTATTAAACATAGTTTTTTATTTGCAATCACATGGTATAAGACTAGATTTTGAATAAGTGTGAAGTTTGAAGAGATTAGGATGAAGGAAAGTATGAGATCAGACACACTGGTGAAAACTAAACTACAAGTCCTTGTTTTTGACAAACTAATAAGGAATCGCTTCTGAATTTAAAAGTGTGAGAACTATGGCAGAAACTGAGTGATTGTCATAAACTTTACATCATTTACCTTCACTAACAAAGGTAGCATTGTAAATACGACGTAGCATGGTTTCAGATTTGCTGAAGCCTGATCCATAAAATGCAGAAAGGCTACATGTAATACTACTGTAATAAGCCAAAATATGTGACAAGGAATTGTTGCATGGCATGAAAAAGTCTCAAATCTAAGCTTTGGTTCTCTCTTGCGAATAATTCTATCAACTTAGACCGCAATTCACATGCTCTAGAGAAATAAACAGCCAAACCACATTCAGACCACAAACCAAACAGACATGGTGTTGATTGTAAGCACTCATCACAGCTGAGCAAAAATTGCGATACAGATACATGGAAATAAAGGCTGGACATCGTCGTCTGTGCTGTTCTCTGGCAACATTATTTTTATCAAAAAAGTTGAGATTCACTATCTTTTATATCAGATATTTGACCAACAAATCAATAATGAAGTAATTATTCCAATGTTTCATAGATTATTTAATGTAGTGACAGGGGAGGGGGTGAGAAGGAAAAACATTTTTCACAAAATTTTGGATTATCAAACATTATATTGTATACTTTCTTTATCACTGGTCAAAATTTTCTGTGCGCAATGCATTTGGCGAGTATTTTGGTTCATTTTCAGCTATGCTTATTTCTCCTTCTCTTTCCACTAACAATGCACAAATTACATCACCTATTCATCCTATGTGCTGTTGATTTTGAGTTCTCATCATAAGATCATGGATAAATTCATGAAATTTAGTTCATAAAGTTCAATGGATTATATCTCCAGACCGCCAGAACTATGAGGCAAATACAAAATTCTAAGACCAAGTTTCAAAGATTAATATCCTTTAAAGCAATCAAACTCGTAGAAAAAACTAACAGCAAGAAAAGGCCAATCCTGTGAAAAACCGCGCAAATCCGGAAGTATCCGCTCCCGCGCTCGCTCGCTTGCTTGCTTGCTCGCATGACAGTGCGACCGCCCGCATTTACAGTTCATGTACAAGTGTATCATTTTTGTTTTTATGATGTTAAAAAAAGAATAAATACAACCAG